TGTGGCTTGCAGCTAGTCTGCGATACCTGTGTCTTTTGGCTTAACATCATGTCAGGTTTCAGCAAACCCTTAATTAGTTGCCTTTTAGGACATGCTTAAATTATGAGGCACGGAGAGTGCTCGCACACACGCACAAAAACACACACATACTGCAGACGCAAGAACCAATATGATGATGAGTGAAACTCTTCCAGTTTTACTCAATAATCATTTAACCCATGAGTGTATGCTCCGTATGGAAAGGCAAGCATCGTTCTGTACTTGATGCATGACAAGCTTGACGTTGTCAGGGCCTTCTAGGAGCGAGTGAACAGTGCAGAGGCACAAACAGATCAGCGTGGTCTGAGAAGAAGGGCGCTGCAGGGAGTTGACCAGGGGATCACGCCAATGTTTAACACACAAGGATAAGGCAAGACAGATAAACAATCCGATTGTTACTGGTACCCTCAGAATTGGAACTCAACGCTGGCTGTTGAAGACGGGGGGAAAAGTGTTTATGAGAATGTCCCGAGTACTGTTGATTCTTAGTTCAACAATCAACATTTTATTTTAACTAATAATTTACTATGCATTTACAACTTTTTTCTTATTAGTAACAGAAGCTGCTAACCTCAAGCAGAGGTAAAATTACTATTCTAATTTTGCGTTTTAAATATTTACAGGGTCTCCTGGAATTACGACTGAGTTCCAGTCTGACTAACAAGTCATAAGTTGAAATGGTTATAAATCAAATTATATGTGTCAACACTACTGCCAATTTAAACAGGTAATAAAAATTGTACAAAACACATAAATGCAATCTATGTAAGTATAATTATTGTGCATAATGTAAAAAAAATACATAATACATACTTTACTGCATTAGTTCTGGAAACTTCTCTATCCTAACAAAGTAGTTATATTTCTTTATTTACATACTATTATTGATTTCTTTGTGGTCATAAGTGACGATGGTCTAAGTGGAGCAAAAGGTGTCTACATCAAATATGTTGACTTCCCATGTGGGTTACAAGCTCCACTCTGAGAAAAACAAGAACAGACCCAACTGCCTTCCCAAAACAAGCACGTCATTGGATCTGACTAATTTGGGAA